TGTGTGTGTGTGTGTGTGTGTGTGTGTGTGTGTGTGTGTGTGTGTGTTGGGGGCGGGGGGGGCCTTGACGAATCCTTTATCACTACCCTCTTCCAAGAACATCTCCAGTTCTGAGCAGAAAAGAAAGTCAAGCGGGCTCATGAGAAAGCTTGAGGGATAACTGTGGCCTGGGATGCAGTGTGTGCAGGCCGTGCGCCACTTTGAGGCCGCGTGCCGCGGTGCCCACCACCCCATCCCGCAACTCCTACCATGTCCCCACGATACTCCAGCAGGTTCCCGGGGCTCAGCCTGCTGGCAGTCTCATCCCTGGAGCTCAGACTTCCCAGGCTGCGCTGGGCTCGGGTCCACACCTTTCCCGCCGGAGGGAGGGCACACAGTAGGATGCTCCGCGTGTGGATCTGTGGGGTCCTGCTGCCGCAAGGCGCCTCCAACCGCTGGGGACCTTTTCAGAGTTTGCAAAGCCCCAGCCTAAGGCGCCGTCCAGCCTCCCCAATCCCCAGAAAACGCGGGAGGGGGAGGCCCCTTTCACAATAAAAGCCCTACCCGCTTCTGGCCAGCCGCAGCCGCCTGGAGCGAGGGCCCTGGTGCCGGGAAGGAAAGGGTCCCCTGACGCCCCGTGCCGGCTTCAGCACCAGGGCTGGGTGTAGAGGAACCCAATCGTGCCTCTAAGGTGTGCGGGTACAACCCATGGGGCGGGGCTCGGCAGGAAGACAGGTCTGTTACTGGTCCTCTCTGCTTGCTTTGGGCACAGTGCCCAAAGGCGGTTTGGGAGGCAAATCCGTTAACCACTGAAGGTCATTAACGATGTACAGACCCTCATTCAAGGAGCCAGAATAAGAAATCAACACTGGATACTGACCTGGCCGCTGAAAGTCGCTTTTTGTCCCCGGTGCCAACTTCAGTGGGGGCCAGATGCCAGATCCTCTCCCTGGAACTGGAGTTACAGGTGGTTTTGAGCTGTCACGTGGGTGTGCTGGGATTCCACCCAGGTGCTCTGCAAGAGCAGCCAGTGCTCTTAAATGCTGAGCCATCTCTCCAACCCCACCCCATGAACTTGATGTAATCTAGAATCAGCTGGGAAGGATCTCAATGAGGGATTGTCTAGATCAGGCTGGCCTGTGAGGGGCCGTCCCGATTATCCTGAGGTAGGAAGCACCGGCCCGAGTGGGCAGCACTGTTTCACAAGCTGGAGTTGTGGACTGAGCAAAGCAGTCAGTTGAGCCCTGATGCAGATGCTTCCGAGTCTGTGCTCATGTGACTAGCTGCTTCAAGTTCCTGCTGACTGGGCTTCCCTTGAGTGATTGTAACCCAGAAGTGTGAGCAAAATAAATCCCTTTTCCTTGATGCAGCTTCGTCAGGGTGTTTTGAAAACAATGACTTCATGTGATACTCTCATGCACTTTAAGTTACATTTTATTGTGTGTGCGCGCGTGGGTGTGTATCTGAAAATGTGTGTGGATATGGAGGTCAGAGAACCACCAGCTGGTGCAAGGTCATCGGGCTTGGCAGCAATCATTTACCTGCTAAGCCATCTCACCACCCCAGTTGTGATATTTTTATATTTTACTCCAATATTCTTAATGGTGATCTCAAGTTAACTCGATTTCACTGCTACCTACTGATGAATAAAGTCAGAAGAACCTGTGCTAACAAATGGGACAGATGAGTCGAAATGACTGCTCTTCACAGAGGACCACTGGCTCCCAACGGATTGTAGCTTCAGCAGATATGATGTGCCTTCTTCTGAGCTCAGCATTTCTCTCACCAGGCATGGGCACTGAGCTTCCAGATTGGCGGGTGGGGTTGGGTTCATCCAGGCTGGTCCCAGAGCAAAAGTACAAGAAATGCTTTTAAACAGAGCCTAGAAGGGAGTGACACCCTTGCAGGCATCACACAATGTTCTGGGCTTTGATTCAGCTGTGGATCCCCCAGTACTGATCTCAGAGAAGGGGAGACAGAACACAGTTTGAGACAATGAGCATAATTGACCCCACAGTCTAGACCCTTCAACAAGATCTATAGGCTTGTGCTTAGAGCTTCTGTCTTCACAGCCAGACTGCTTCCACCTCTCCCTTGGGCATCTTGAGGACACTAACTGAATAAGCCCTACCCTCCTGCTGCTTCCTGCCAGGTGACAGCTCAGAGGGATTCTTGTGACCACAGTGCTTATTGCATACTGCACATGGCTGCTATTCGTGCAGCAAATACAGCAGGTGCCTCTGCAACTTGGATTTTGAAACTCCCACAAAGCCTACATGTGAAGACTTGGTCCCGGGGTAGTGTTGTTGGGAGTAGAACCTTTAAGAGATGCACCTCTATGGTTCTTTGGTCACGGGGTGTGCTCTCAAAGGGGATGTGGGGCTTTGGTCCTCTCCTCTCTTTCTGTGGTCCCTAGTTTGTGAGCCCATGCTTCTAACCAAGCTGTGCTGCCTCACTACAAGTCCAAAGCCACTGATCATGAGCTGTACCCTCCAGAAGCCCTTCCCTTTCTAAGCTGTCTCCAGGATTTTGTTACAGTAACAGTCAGGGTTAACTGAGAAGGGGAGATGAATCTTGAATGTGGGTGGCACCATCCCACGGGCTGGGATCCCAGGTTGAATAAAAAAGGTAGAAAGGTTGGTATGATAGTGCATCCATCCAGGTCACGCTTATATCTCAGTACTTTGGAGGCCAAGACAGAATAGTGCGAGTTCAAGGCCACCCTAGATAATAAAGTGAGTCCCAGGACAGCCTAGGCTACAAGTGAAACCCTGTCTCCTAAAGGGGATGAGAGGGATACTAAGTGGGTTAACCAAAATTAAGGCTGTCCAACGACGCCTCACGAAACCCTGCCAGTTCCATACCAGGGATTCACACTATGGAATTTGATTCAAGACTGTTTAGACCAGCAACATAAAGTTGATTCAGTTGTAATTCAACACCCCTGTAAATCTGGTCTGTCTACTCCAAAAGCAGGGGGGTGGTTTATTGATTTACTTTTGCTTCATGATGCTCCCCAGAGTATGAGAAAAAAAATTGATGATACACTTTTAGAATCACCAAATATGGCTACTACCTGGTTGGCTGAGCTAATGTCCCTGCTATAGCAGGGGATTTTGCAGACAAATGGAGTGATAGAAAGAACAAAGTCCGCCAGGCAGTGGTGGTGCACACTTTTAATCCCAGCACTGGGGAGCCTGAGGCAGGTGGATCTCTGAATTTGAGGCCAGCCTGGTCTACAGAGCGAGTTCCAGGACAGGCTCCAAAAGCTACACAGAGAAACCATGTCTTGAAAAACAAAAAAAAAAAAAAAAAGAAAGGAAGGAAGGAAGGAAGGAAGGAAGAGAAAGAAAGAAAGAAAGAAAGAAAGAAAGAAAGAAAGAAAGAGAACATAGTCGAAGCCCAGGTCAAGGCCAATCCTGGAAGTAAAACAGAACTAGATCCTATTCTCAGCCTACAAGATTAAGGCATGAATTCTACAAGGCCCATTTCTAAGGGTTCCTTTTTTACACATGTACATGTATATACAGTAGCTCACAGTGGCCAAAAAGGTTATCAGATCCCCTGGAACTGGAACCATAGGCAGCTGTGAGCTGCCTGGTATGGGTGCTGGGAACAAACTTGGGTCCTATGCAGGAGCATGTCGTGGTTTACATAATCATGGTCCCCAAGGGCTCACATATTGAACATGTGGGTCTGAGTTGGTGGAACTGTTTGGGAAGGATTATGGGGTGTGGCCTTGTTGAAGAGATTATGAGCTTTGAGGCCATTTCTCTCCTCTCTTCCTCTCCTTCTCCCACCTCGTGTTTTCAGACAAGAATGCAAGCTCCTAGCTACTGCTCCAGCAGCATGCCTCCCTCCTGCAACTATGTTCCCCACCATGATGGTCATGGACTCACCCTCTGAAAGACTTCAATTAAATGCTTTCTTTTATAAGTTGCCGTGGTTATGGTGTCTCTTCATAGCAATAGAAAAGTAACCAAGACAGTTGCCAGTAGTCTTAACTGCTAAGCCATCCCTCCAGTCCCAAGGCCCATTTCTTCAAGCATATCATAGCAACCTAAGGGTGTGTGTGTGAATGTTTACCATTGGACCTTTGAAGTATGCATCAGAATTTGTTATAAAATATTATTCTTTCCTCCAAAGTTTTTGGGTTATGTGATCCCAGGAGCTAAGTTTCTGGGTATCAGTTGAGGTCCTATAAAATATAAGTTGTGTGCTGGACACAGCACAAACACTTCCATTCCCAGGGGGAAGAATGGAGATAAGTAGGAGTTCTCATCAGAGCAGGACTGAAACCCAGCAGGGCAAACTCCAGATTCTGCCGTTCCCTGTGCCTGGCACATGGGACTCGTAGGCTTTGGCAGCTCTTCTCCAGCTCTGCTGCCTGAGCACCCACAGCCTCTTGGGCCAACTCTACTCCATGCTAGCGTTTTTCTTGGATGAGTGTCACGATTCTGACATTTTGAACATCTCAGGAGATTGGCTGTAACTTAAGTCTTCACCTTCACAGCTTCACAGAGCGTCTTCTGCCAATTCAGACACTGACACCCATTGTCTGGAATCTCAGCACTGCTTCCATTTTCTTTTCTCCCACATTCTCCCATCTTTCATGCCTGCAAAACCGGTACCATGTAGACGATGGTGCTAAGTTCTGCTGCCACCTAGGGCTGGAGCCTGGGACTCTTAGCCCACAGTTCACTGGCCTTGCATGCTAACAGTGCAGAAACACTTCCCTAAGCTTTGGTTTTGAGCAGGGCACTCAATGGTGTTTATGATGTGGTTTCTTCTTTCTAATGAGTCAGCATGTTCCCTAGACTTCAGTGAGTAGGGTTCTACCCTCAGGGTACCTTACTGCTGTCCTTGCAGAGTACTGGGCTCCTCTTTAATAGTGCTACTTTTCTCTTAACAATGACTGGTGCTCTCTTTAATATTTGCACAGCTACTTTTGAGGTTTCCTCATCTGTAACAAACAATTTCCTCACTAAAGCATTTTCCAGCTCTCTGTTCCTCTCTTTGCTGTCTGCAGGCCTGGACAAGAGATGTATCCACGCCACACATCAGATGCCATCTTCCCTCACAATTTCTGTCACCAAGTTATCCCTGTACTCCTAAATTCAGTCCCACTCAAGTTCCTGGGACATGAGCAAAAGATTCTGTCAATTTACCAAATAGTTTTTAGCCCAGTTCCCGATGGAGTACTTGTTCATGCTTTGAAAATGTAATTAAATGAGACTCTCTATCCTCATATCTCTCAGCATTATAGCCTTCTAAATCCCACAAAAATGTCCATTAGCTTCTGCTTCAGAGTTCTAGGGCATTTCTGTGTCAAGCTTCCAAATTCTTCTATATCCCTCATGCAAACTAGTTAGTTCCGAAGGCCTAAGAGCCACATGGTTGGGTTTGTCACAGCAATAGCCCTACTTTTGGTACCAGTTTTATTACTTTTCTCACTATGCGGTGCTGCAGGAGTATCTTCCGCTGCTTCAGCCAATAGTTGCTGAAGCACGAGCCCACGGTGCTGCGGGAGGGCCTTCCGCTCCGTCAGCCAATAGCCGCTGAAATACCAGCCCACTGGGGCGTGGTATATCTCTCTTTTAAAAAGAGCCACAGATCTCGGCTCGGGCCTCTTGGTTCCGGCGCTTGGTCCCGGCTCCTGCTCCAGCGACTAGGCTCCCTTACTGACAGTTTATGGTGTATGTAAGTCTTACCCCCCAAAATAAATAACCCCTTAAAACATAACTGGTGTGGGATTGATTCACCGTTATTTGGCGCCCAACGTGGGGCTCGAACCCATGACCTGCAACTTTAAAAGGGGCTTGTTTGGCTCCAGATTTTGGGTACAGTCCACCATGTCAGCAAGTGCTAACAACAGGAGTGGCAGGCAGTTGGCCACGTTGCACCTGAGAGGAAGCAATGAGCCAGCTGGTGCCCAGCTTTCTCCAGCTCAGTCCAAAACCCACCCACATTCCACTGGGCCTAATGAAGGAAATCCACTCACAGATGTGCCCAGGTTTCCATCCTGACTCTAGATCCCACCAAAAATGATGATCAAGATTAAGCATCAACTAGTCAATAACCAAGTCTTAATAACCCAAATGTCTTCAGGAAAAGCAGTCTTGTGAATCTGCACATTTTATGAATCACGCTGCTGAAATGGCTGTTTCCAGCCTGGTCAGTATGAAACACCACTTTGGTATTTCATCAAACAGTATTTTGTCCAGAAACTAACACTGAACTATCTCTAAATGTATTTATAAATGTTCATTCACAATAGTTTTCCAAAACAATATATTTTAAACTAAACGAAGTGATTCTCAACACTACAGATACCTAAATGCAGAACAAATATGAAGATACATGGCTCCTAGGGGATTTGGAGCAAGTATGCATAGATACCAGTAGGTACTTTAACTTTAAAAAGCTTATATTCTTTGTGAATTTAACATCACGTGCTCTAATGCACTGAGTCAATCCTACTTATCGCTACTGCCTCTCTGAATGTCTTCAGCCAACTCCAAGTTCCATGAGCGCAGGAAACTGCAACTTCCACATCCCCCAATGCCCAGGGGACAATACCCACCACTGCCATCACCTCTCCAGTACCCCTCTCTGAAGAGTGGGCTGTTTTAATAACTTGCCCACTTTCCTTCACATATTTCTTTGTAGTGGTGTCCCCAGGGCCCGTGGGTGTGCAGTTCCTGGTGCCCAAGGCATTGGGTGCCACTGGATGTCCTGTGCTTTTTTAACTTTTTGTTCTGTTTTTTTTATTATTATTATTTTATTTTAAACTTAGTTCAAAAAGTTTTTTTTTGACCAAGGGTGTGGGGGTGGTTACATTGTCTAGACTGGTCTTAGACCAGTGAGTTCAAATAATCCTCCTGCCTCAACTTACAAGCTGGGAAAGAGATATAACTACAACTAACTCCCAACTGTGTCAGAATCGGAGGGAAGGAGCAGAGCTGGACTTGGGGATATGACACTTTGAAAAGCAGCAGCCAGCAGCCAATCAAACAGGGATTTCTGTAGAATAATACTTTATAAAGGACACACAGAAAGACATGAGGGCTAGCTCAGAATTTTGTCACAGCCCTTGACTTCTCAGTCAATCCCAACTTTGTTCAGAGACCGTAGCATCCAGAGTTACCTTCAATCCTGTGAATGTTCCTCTGGAAAAAGCTTAGCTTCAGAGTCTTAAGATCAATTTGTGGAATTCTGTGTCAGTATTCACACCATTTGGTCAAAGGAATTTCTTTTTCTCTGGACTCCAGCTCACATTCCACAGATTGCTGACTAATCCTGAAAGCCTGATTCTAACCCCCTTATAATGTTTGTCTGCTGAAAAATATTTTTTATTTCTCTTTAAGTAAGTGTATGATTTGTGAATTCTATCTTCATAAAGATGTTAAAAAAGGACTCAAGTGTCTGCTTTGTACATTATAAATGCACAACTTTAATGAACTAAGAGCAATAATACACCTACTTGGATGGAAATATGCCTGGCTACAGAAAACACCACACTTGACAGCAGTGGCATGGCTCTGACCTCGCCTCCTCTATCCATCTTCCAGCACAGATGACTTAGAGAAAGGCCTTCACCCTGGATGACTCTGCTTTGGTGGCCAGTTGAACATATTGTCTTACTTTCTCAAGGTACCCTAAAGGGGAGGAAAAGTCAGTGTCTGTAAGCTACCTTTACATATTTCAATATAAATTTTTTTTTCAATTTTAATGTCATCATGAAATACAAAAATAATGTCCTTGTTCTATTTGTTACCACACAGATAACACTATACCAAATGTGTAAATGCAAAGCTGGGAGAGCACAAAAGTGATGACACACATATAACCAAAGTCTTATTCTAAATATCCCTCTAAATAAAAGCATTTACATGTACAAAACACTGAAGATTCTATAAGTAACTACAATAAAACTCATTAGGGCACACACAGAAAGGTTTAAAAAATGAAAGCAGATGGTTAGAGCTGGGAAGACAAAAGGTAGTGCAGGGCTGTGTGAGGGCTATGGGGTAGAGAAAAAGACCAAAAATACATTTACTCATGTATGGAATGTCACAATGAGATCCATTATGTATGACTAAAATATATTAAACGTTTTCTTGCAAGCTGAAAAGGCATTGAAATGGGAGCACAGTTAACGATGTGACTCAGTTTCAGAACCTGCCTGATGTAGATCTGCTAGGCCCTTAACACACACACACACACACACACACACACACACACACACACACACACTCTGTCCATGACAGTTTACATGCAGTGAATCACAAAGTGAGCTACACATTTACTATTTCAAGTTGGTTAATAACTTTAACCTGCGGACCCAAGTGGAGATCTACAGCCCAGAAACCTTACCTAGTAAAGCCACATGTGTGAAGTTCTCAAGCACCACATCCTTGTACACGGCCTTCTGGTCAAGTGTCAAGCTGACCAGTTCCTGCTCTGTGAAGTACACAGCCATGTCTTCAAAAATCTGAAACGACAAACAGCCCTCCCAGACATCAGACAACCATGGGAGCAACTGGATACCGCTGAGGGGGTATAAAAAAGCACAAACTGGAATGGCTGTTCTAGAAAACTTCTGTATAGCAACCAACCAAATGGATCTTCCATGATCTAGTAATTCAAACACACATACACAAAAATGAGTGCCTATATCAAAAGACAAGACAGAGAGCAGATCGCTGATAGAACGCCTGCCCAGGGTCTTAGGATTATTACTGCTGTGATGGAACCCATGAGCAAAGCAAGTTGGGGAGGAAAAGGGTTTATGTGGCTTACATTTCCACATCATAGTTCATTATTAAAGAAGTCAGGACAGGAACCCAAACATGGCAGGAGCTAAAGCAGAGGTCATGGAGGGTGCTGTTTCCTGGCTTGCTCAGGCCACTTCCTTATACAACCCAGAACTGCCAGTCCACAGGTGGTACCACCTACAATAGCCTAGGCCCTCTGCCATCAATCACTAACTAAGAAAATGCCTTACAGGCTTGGCTACAGCCCAGTCTTATAAAGGCATTTTCTCAATTGAAACTCCCTCCTCTCAAATGATTTTAGCTGTGTCAAGTTGACACCAAGCTAGTCAGAACACCTAGCATGTACAAAGCCCTGGGCTTATTGCCCAGTGCAGAGGGAGGGTATCTTTTGGCAGGAAAAATGGCCCAGTGAGTAAAATTCTAGTTTCATAGAATGAAGACATGAATTTAGATCCCACCACCACATAAAAGCAGGGCACGGGGGGGGGGGGCTATCTGTAACCCCAGTGCTGGGGGATGGGCAATCCCAGTGGCTTAGGAAAGGGCATAAAATGGAACGTTTTAAAGTATTAACATAAGTGATGGCATATGAATGTCTGTATCTCAAAAAAAGTGAGCTATACAGTTAAAACATGAATATGAGTCAAACCTCAGTGAGAAATTTCTAAACTATATATTAATGTAAGTGCAATTATAGGCTTGGATGTATATATTTACATATACATATGTGTACATATACATGCACATATATATCATTATACACTCATGCAATTACATACAAAAGTAAAGGCAATCCAGTTTACCTTAGGCTCTGGTTGTACAGAGCTATTTTCCTTCATAAATTCTTCTAGTCCTGTAGTTAATACAGGCTCCAAAATTTCAGGACCTGAAGGTAAACAGAGAAACTATTAGCGATAGTAACTCTATTTAACTTCTCCTGCAGACTAATCCTAGTCTTAGCAAATGTGAGACAGCAGTTACCTTGGAGGATGCAAAATGGAAGAACAAGATCATTTAAGAAATGTATAGATAATATGTACTGTTAAAACTATAATTTCAGTTATCCAGAGACAACACCAAGGAAAGGAGATAAAGTTGGAAAACCAGTGAACAGAATGTTATGATCTCATCAGAGAAACGAGCATTTGAAACACTTAGGATCATAGAACCCAGATACAGAGAGGAATGAGTTATACACATGAAATCCATTGAATAGACCTCAGAATCAGCCTCTCCCCATGCTACTTGACATTAGTGTCTGTCTTTTTAGTAATACAAGTCAAATAATTTAAAGTTATTTTATTAGAGCTGGACAATGGTGATGCACACCTTTAATCCCAGCTCCTGGGAGGGAGGCAGAGACGGGCAGATCTCTGTGAGTTGAAGGCCAACCTGATCTACAGAGTGAGTGCCAGGACCTATGGCTACAAAGAGAAGCCCTGTCTTGAAAACCCAAAGACAGTTTATTGATTTGGGAAGTCTTTCTGTCTATGTCTTGTTTTAATTGGTTAATGAATAAAGAAGCTACTTGGAATCACTAAGCTTACTTAGAGCAAGGTGGGAATACCAAGCAGAGATGGAGGAGAAAGTAGGCAGAGTCAGAGAGACGCCATGTAGCTGCCAAAGGAAAAAGATGCCTTTGGGAGCATGCTAGAACCTTGCCGGTAGGCCACAACCTCATAGTGATATACAGATTAATAGAAATGGGTTAATTTAAGATATAAGAGTTAGCAACGAATATGCCTAAGCTATTGTCACCCAATGTGGGGCAACTACAGAATGGCACCCAACGTGGGGCAACTACATCCATATAAAAGCTGAGTTTAGAAAGATATTCCAGACTAGGAGAGCAGAGTTGAGCACTGATACTTAGTGACCACATTTTTTTGGATGGGCTCTGTTTGCTGGCAGTGGGCAGAAGCTGCCACAGCTCCTTTAACAGTAGGCTTACTGACTCAGCATAAGAATGAACTCTGGCTCTTTCAGGAGGCCGAGCAGTTAAACATTTGTGAGCAGCAAGCTACTAGTTGCTGAATGGCAACAGATCAGCTGCATCCCTGGAGCTGGAGCCAAGTGCATGGCTCATCCTTACAGAACTCTCAAATCTTTGACAACTCTGTTTTGATTGGATGTACATCATGCCAGGCAAATGAAGTTGTCGCAAACCAATTTCCAGGGACCACTCAAAGGACTCAAAATGTGTTTAAAGTCATCCAGAGCCCCAGCAGCAGCACTCGGGTTCCACAGGACAGTAATGGGTGACAACCCTGAAAAAAAGGGCTGAGTCCTCCACCAGCCTCGTCCTGCACCTCAGGTCTGCCTGCTTCTTCATTCTGCCAGGGCCTTCAAGGAGAGCAATCGCCCTGGGACCTGCAGTGGCCTCTTCCTGCCTGCACCTCAGCTGTCCTCCCGCCCCAGGCATCCAGCGGCCTCTCCCCTCCCCACACAGGCAGCCTCTCCCCTTCCCCCCATGGCAGTCTCTCTCCCCCTCATGGAGGCCTCTTCCACCAAGGGCAGCCTCTCCCCTCAATGGAGGCCTCCCCACTTACTCCCCTTCACGGTGTCCTCTCCTCTCCCCGTCATGGTGGCCTCTCTCCCCCCAATAGCAGCCTCTCCACACCACAGCAGCCTCTCTCCACCTCCACCAGGCCTCTCCTCTTCCCCTCATGACGGCGGCCTCTCCACCCCCAATGGTGGCCTCTCTCCTCCACAGCGGCCTCACCCCTCATGGCGGCCTCTTCCCCCAATGGCTGCCTCTCCCCCCATGGTGGTCACTCCCCACATGGCGGCCTCTCCCCCACAATGGCGGCCTCTCCACCTCAAACGGTGGCCTCTCCCCTCCCCTGAAAGGTGGCCTCTCCCCACCTACTCCCCCCACGGGGGGGGCCACCCACACACAACCTACTGAGGCTCAGGAAGCCACCTCCGGTAAGTGGACTGACCTCCCCAGCCGCACCCTCGGATTTTAAAGATCACGCCCGGAAATGCGTCATCGAGCCGCCTGGCCAATCCCCTGCTGGCCTCTCTAGGCAGCTGGAGGACCCGGGACCTTGGCCTGGGTCACACGGAGGCGGGAGAAAGCGTGCTGGGCCCCTGGACCTCACAGCAGTGGCCTGGCTGTCTGTGGAGACCCTGGGTCCTCCCGCCCTACGGGATTTGCCCGCCCTCACAAGGCCGTTATTCTCTTTTCCGGACTTGGCGGAGGGATCAGAAGTTCAGATCTGCATGAGGCCAGACTCATTGTGAAAGTATCAGTGCCTTCCATGAGGCCTCGCGGGGTAGGTTGAACAAAAGTCCGGGAGTGGGCAAGGTTTTCCTGCTGACCCTCCAAGACCTTTCACATCAAAAAGGTGGTACAAAAAGTCTTGCTTAGGGCCGGGGTGGGGGGAGTGGGGTTACACCTCTTTAATCCCAGCACTCAGGAGGCAGAGGCAGGCAGACGTCTGAGTTTGAGATCAGTCTGATCTACAGAGCGAGTTCTAGGACAGCCAGGGCTACGCAGAGAAACCTCGCCTTGAAAAACAAAAACAAATTACATTTATTTTCATTTCTGTGCACGTGAGTGCGTCTGCATGTGTATACACATGTATGTATGATGCTCCAGGAGGCTAGGAGAGGGCACTGGAGTCATCCGTGATTGTGAGCCACCTGCAATGGGTCCTCTACGGGAGCAGCCTACGTGCTCTCTCCAGAACCAGCATCCTGTGCTTTTAAATGACCCAGGGCTGGAGAAATAGCTCAGCAGGGCCCAGCACTCGCTGCTCTTTCAGAGGACTGAGCTTTGGTTCCCAGCACCCACACAATACCTAACCACCATCTGCAGCTCCATTCCAGAGATCCAATGTTCTCTGGCCTCCATGGATACCCTGTGCACATAGGTAAAGCACCCACACACGTAGAATAAAAATAAAATCTGAACTCCTTAACCTCTTTGTCTCATAGAGACTGAACCCTTTGATCTGGGGCATCACCAAAAGACACATCGACAGCATCTGCTTTCTCCAAAACCTAGAGTACCAAACATGCTAGCATCTCAGTTCAGCCCAAAACAGTCCTCTGAAAACTGTGCCTCAGGTCTGGCCCGCTGCTCTGCCAGCTCTTCACAAAACAAAAGGCGGGAAATGTTAGCTCTAGGGACATCGTTTTGTCCATCATCGTCTGCCACATTAGCCGACACCCTGACTCTCACCACCACCTGCCTACTGAAACACACAGGGTGTCACAGGGTGGTCCCACTGCAAGCTCAACTTCCCTAGCAACCCAGCCACCCTGGCAACAGCGGCTAACCGCAGCTTTCTCCTCCCTAGAGTCTCCCTCACATTTCCTCTTTCCTGGCCTCACAAACACAGGTCTGTAAGAGGGGCAGGGACTCTGGTTCTTACTAGGACCTCTCCGCCCCCAACAGGTGCTTTTCTTAAGCAGAACTCACTCTTCCCTTGTCTCCATCTCTAATCTAACAAAGAAAAGTTGAGCAGAAGTCTGAGACGCCAGAGTGGCCACAGGCACAAGCTGAGTCCTCACCTGGGAAGGCCGGTCTAAATTAGATTTCAGAACAAACTGTGTGCAGGCACTGCCTTCTCTCACTTTTGGTACCAAAAGCAAGACTTTTATTTGTTTGTTTGTTTTTGTTTCTTTGAGACGGGGTTTCTCTGTGTAGTCCTGGCTGTCCTGGAACTAGCTCTTGTAGACCAGGCTGACCTCGAACTCACAGAGATCCACCTGCCTCTGCCACCCGAGTTCTGGGAAATGTATGCACCGCCACCACCTGGCCAAATAAATGTATTTTTAAAAGACAGGGTACAAAGGTTAATAAAAGGAAAATAAAGAATAAATAGAAGGGGTCCCAAGAAGGGAATGAGCCAGGGTAGCCATCATCCCAGGCTGAACCATTGTCCTTGAGACTTAGAATGCTGGCAGAGTTCACATGTTTTATCTTGCTATTTTTCTTCCTGTGTCTCAGACTACTCTAAGTTGAATTGCAAAGAGGTAAGCACTCTTCGTGGAGGAAAAAAGGGGGTACCCCCTTCTCAGTCAGAAGGCGGTCCTGGGCTCTGTGGTTTTTAGGTTGACACCTTCAGGAGAGCCTCTGATTGTGATAATGGTAGCTCTTCCATCTGGGATTTTGGAAATAACTTCAGAACAGAGGAGATGCTTAGGGCACAAGAAGTGGGCGTTGGTGGGAAGAGGTTGAGGCTAAAGAGAGAATTGAGGCAAAAGGGGAGATCATTGCTGTCTGGTTATTGGGAAGGAATTTGGTGTCTGTGAATGGGAAAACAAGGGGGCAGACACTAGACCAACCTCCTGGGAGATCAACACAGACTGGTGTTCTACAGAAGAAAACTTCTTGAGTACTGGAAACAGGAGTCTAAAGAGTATGAAGATCTGGAAAGGCCAGGGGATCACAGCTCAGTTTTCCTGGACCGTGCCCTCATTTCTCAAGACTAAACATTCTCTGGATAGGACAGCTGAGTTGAGGGGCGAGTAGTAGAAGCAATTAGGGGCCCTCATGTCCCTGGAGTTTAACCTTGAATGATGTCCTGTCCACAGACATGGCAGTGGGGTAGACTAAGTTGCCTTGTTCAAATAAAGTAAGGGTATAGCAGGAGCCCATGGGGAAAGGAAGGGAGGGCCCGTAGGGAGTTGCTGGGGAAATGTGACTGTGTGTGGTGTCTATCGGGCAGGGGACTAAGGGGTGAGGAGTTCCCACAATGTAGAGAGAGTCTTTTCGTTGTCTTTGTAAATGGCTGGGTACTGGACATATCTAGATTTAAGTTGTGGATCAGAGAGGGAAAGATGAAGGCTGTGGTTGTGAAGAGGAGAGATTGCCGTCAAAGGTGCTACAAGCAGAGACCTCAAGGAAGCAGGGTATAGCCGGGTGGCAGGAAGGTGTCTGCGGGGTAAAAGGACCAGCCAAAGAAACACACCCTGACCCTGAAACCAGCCAGTGAAAGAAACGTACTTTGGCCCAGGATACTACAGTTGGGATCACCAGAAAGTGGTCCCTGTAAGGGGCACTGGGCAGATTAGAAGCAGTCACTATTGAGATTTCTAAAATACCTCTCCTGGGTATTCCTGCAGTGTCTCCTACATCAAATAAGGCTTTCAATGAGTCGGGCTTACACTAAGGAACATTCCAGAAAGATGCAACGTAGGTAATGGTGAATACCTGAGAAGAACGGAGAGAGGGGAGCAGAAGGAAGTTCACTCTTCACTGAGTGACCACCAAATAACTCTCTCTTGCTAGGATGACTTTGTGTCTGGTCAAACTAAGTAAGCTTCAAAGTGAAACATAATATTGGGTCACAAAACCAAAAAAAAAAAAAAAAACAGAGTCAGAATGAACATACATGAGATGGTGCCCTGTTGTTTTGGATTGGTTTGGTTTTAGTCAACTTGACACAACCTAGATCCATATGGGAAGGAAGAGTCTCACTTGAGACAAGACCTCCATCAAACTGGGCTGGAAGACATCATTTTGGTTAGTGGTTGATGTGAGCAGACCCAGCCCACTGTGGACTGTGTCACCCCTGAGCAGGATGAGCAAGCCATGGGGAGCAATCCAGACCCCTCCATGGCCGCTGCTTCAGTCCCTGCCTGGCTGGAGCTTCTGCCCTAACCTCCCTCGGTGACAGTCCATGACATGGAGCTGTAAGATGAAATAAGCCCTTCCCCCCCCCCCCAAGTTGCTTCTCGCCATGGTTCTTTATCAGAGCAATAGAAGCCCTAGATAGGGGGCCTCTTTCTTTCTAACACTATGAAAAAGCCAGCATCATCTGTCACATGTCAACATTCAGAGCCAAATCTGTTCTGTGGTTTCTCACCGAGGCTGCCCCTCTCTGGAACCAGTAGCTGTTGAGAGAATTGTGGAGGACGTGAAATGATGTGTGGCCACTGAGAATTAATAGTCTCTACGTCTGCCTGACTCCCTGGGCCCTAAGATGCCCCCTTCCTTTTCAGTGTGTGTGTTTGAAGGTTAGAGGACAATTACGAGAGTTCGTTCTTCCTACTATGGGATCCAGTAATTGCTCTTACCCACTGAGCCTTCTTGCCGGTCCTGATGTTTTCCACTTAACTAAGGCCATTTCTTACCTCCACAGCCCCATAACCAGGGTGGCCAGTCTCTGCCAAGGACTCCACCTGCCCTCTGAGCTTCTTATGTCTTGTGTATGCACCATACACTCAGTCTCACGCCTAACTAGGTCAGTAGTTCCTTTATTCCTGTGCATGCATCTGTGGGTCAGTTGAAGGGAACTGAACTCATCCTACTAAACACACAGTCTCCCACTGAGACTATGAGCCACACCTGCAGCCCTAGTACTTCCCGGAATGGCTTCCTCCTCTGATGGGTGGGCCATGCGGTAGTAACTTTGGAGTTGCCACCTCAGCTGGTGGTCACCATAGTGATCTGCAAGCGTCTCAGTCCGGTCAGCCAATCACACAGTGAGTCTCTCACTCCCTGGCTGTCTTCCTGCTCTTTCCTCACAGTATCCTGGCTTGCGGGGGATAAGCGTGGAGGGTGGGGGTAGAGGTGGGATGTGGTCAGGCCTCTGGCTGCTGTTGCTTTGCCCACTCTTCCCCCTCATAAGTACACTTTGCGTGTAGGCAGGAGGTACTTTGAGGATGTCAGAGAAGACCATCTGTGGTGGTTCGAATGAGGATGACTCTCATTGGCTCATCTGTTTGAATGCTTGGTCCCCAGGTAATAGAACTGTTTAGGAAGGGTTAGATGTTACCTTATTAGAGGAGATGTGTCACCAGAGGCAGGCTTTGAGTTTCCAAAAGCCCATGCCATTCCCAGTTTAGCTCTGACCCGCTTTGGGTTTTGTGCTGCGGATCAGGATAAGTTCTGGATTCTTGCTGCAACACCATGGCTGCCTGCCAGCAGTCCTGTCCCTGCAGTGACACTCGCAGACTCTAACCTTCTGAGACTCTAAGTCTCAGTAAACGCTCCCTTTTATAAGCTGCCTTGGCTATGATGTCTGCACAGCAGGGACAGTACCCCAGACCATCGTGGGCTGTTGTCCTGAGTTCATCTTTCCAGGCATCATCACTTACCGCATTAACATTGGGCTCGTATGCTACATGGATTGCTTTGACTTCAGTTTGCCAGTAGTCTCAATTTCTAGCAGCCAACAATATCTGTTCTTTTATTCTTATTTTAATTACTCATATTGGCTTCCATATATTACAGAATATATATATTACAATATGTTACAGAATACACACACATATATTACAGAAGGCTGCAAATGGGTTAAAGAGACCATGGTAAAGAGGAGTCAGAGGCGCAGAACGGCAGGTGGTTAGACACTAGTGAACCCAGCTATAAAAGTGCATCGAGCCCAGCTGCAGGATCTGTGCTCAGCTAGACCTCAGAGATGAGGCAGCATGTCAACAGGGGTGGAACAATGCATGGACAGATAATTCAAGTAGGCCAAGCAGCATTCCAGTGTGTGTATGTGGGGGAGTGTATGCACATGTGAGTGTATGCATGCGTGTGTGAGTGTGCATGTAGGTGTGTGGGTATGAGCACATGTGTGCGTGTGGGTATGTGTGAGCGCGTGTGTGCATGAGTGTGTGTGTGTGTGTGTGTGTGTTGTGTGGGTGTGTGGGTGAGTGTGTGTATGTAGTAAGAGGAGCAGGCCACGTCCCACCGCCCAGCTAGCTTACCCCCCAAAATAACCACACAGAAATTGTATTCATTTAAACACTGCCTGGCCCATTATCTCTAGCCTCTTCTTGGCTAACTCTCACATATTAGTTTAACCCATCTCCATTAATGTGTATTGCCATGTGACTGTGGCTTACCAGCGTGAGTCTAACCAGCATCTGTCTCAGGCAGGAGAACCATGGTGTCTGCCCCTCTGCCCTTCTTCCCAGCATTCTGTTTTGTCTACTCCGCCCATCTAAGCCTGCCCTATCAAAAGGCCAAGGCAGTCTCTTTATTCAGCCAATGAAAGCAACACATAGAAAGAAGGACCTCCTATACCATGTGTACACATACATATTATTATACAGAGAGATTTTATCCAGCTGTTGGTCACTGGCTTGGGTTGTTTTCACCTAGTGACTATGGTGAGTGAGGCTGCCGTGAACATGTGTGCACCGTGTTCTAACTCATTTCTTTCCTCTGTGCTAAAAACAGTGTCTGCTAGCCACATGCTATCTGTTTAACTTTCTGAGCGATTGGCACTTGCCGTTCAGGACACGCGAGTTCCACTTCCACCTCTGTGTCCTCAGGGTCTCCAGTGCTTTCTTGTGGAGACACAAAGAAGCCAAAAGTCAAAGAGTTTGGGACTTGTTTCTTGTTCATTCAAGGTTACTGTACTTCTACCACAAACAAAGGTCCCACTTAGCTGTGAATCAGAGTTCTGCTCTCTCTAGGCTACAGTAAACAGGTGTGGCTAGTTGCCAGACCCCTTGCTCCTGAAATAGGGAAGTAGTTGGTTCCTACTAAAACAAAAGTCTAAGGAATCCAACTAAGTTCTAGTTTCCTTTGTGGAGATAACTTGGGATTTGACGCAGGGAGTGATTTGCCTAAGGAGTGTTTGGTCTAGGGCATGAGTCTAGGGCAGGAGTGAGGAATGTAGCCATGACTTTCAATTTGAATTTTAATGCAGTCTTTTGCTTTACTCCTACACTTTGGGGCCAGGGGTATATTGAGCTGTTGGGAAATTAAACATGGGCAAATTTCAGTACTCACTGAAAAATTCCCTCCCCATACTATCCTATATGTTTCTGCATTTTATTATTTTCATTCATGTCTTCATATTTACTATATTTCTAAATCCCCCTGCCTCCACTCTGCAGAAAGGTATTTTTATGGAGACTGGTTCCTGACACTTTCTATTCCTCTCTTAATAGCAGCCCTCCTGCTGGGTGTGAAGGGAGCATGCCTGCCTTTTAATTGTAGCAAGTTTAAAGTAGCTGCGATTTAAAGTCATAACACTGTCACTACTGGGCACACACATCGTTTTCACAAACCTTTCCTTCTTCCCGCAGCTTTGCTACATTTACCCATCTCTATGTGTGCATGCGTCACTTCAGGCATGTGGTGGGCAGATGAGAGTCTGTGGGTGTAATGGAAAAATTAAAAATGTTGCAGGATCCCCGGCAGCGACAGGTCATGTGGCAGCAGGCAGCGGGACCTGAGAGCAGCCAGTCCCAGGTTCCCGAACTGTGGCTGGTTCGGGCAGGGAGACATGTGGCGGGTAACAGAGACATGGATAGGCACGCCATGCAGAGTGAGGTTGGTTATTTATTAATTGGGTTATGGAAGGGAAGGGGGAGAAGGAGAAGAGCCAAGAAAGGGAGGGAGGGAGAGAGAAGAGAGAGAGAGGAGAGACCAAAGCTGCCTCTCTGAGAGGGAAACAGAAAAAGAGAGGGAACTCAGGCTGGAAGCTGAATATCAGCCTGAGTCAGCACATGGGGGAGGGAATGGGCGTGGCTTGTCTCTTAAAGAGACAGAACATTACTTTCCCATCTCTTTTTTATAATAAAAAGGGAAGAGGTTAGGCACCACAGGTTAAAGGAATTGGGGTGGCGAATTCTCAGGACTGCTTCCTGCTTATTTGTGGGTGTCGTCTTTGGGGGGGACTGAGAAGGCAGGGGACTGAGAAGGTCACATCCTGGCGTAGCTGGTTTCTTTGTTCCTGTCCGGTGTTTGTGGTATGGAAATGTCAGGTGTCTCTTATACCTGTTTAAAGTATTGGCAGAACAGAAGACAAAGTTAAGTTTAGGGGAAAAAAATTGGACTGAGGAATTAAGGGGGATATATCTGATCTGTTTAAGGTGGATTCCTTAAATTTGGCTCCCTGGAACTCACAAGAATTCTTTGGGTTTGTAAAAACAGAAGTTTTAGACATATACATTGTATAAATAGTAGCGTATTTATGTCAGAATGACTGTGACTGATATTTTTGCACAATGAAAAGTATTTTTAAGACTATGGAAGGCAGCATGAGAGAGAAATTTGATAACTTGTATTTGTCCTCACACCTTTATAACTTGCAGGTGCACACCTTAATAACTTGTATATGTATTTTACTAAAATTTGTTTGGTGAGGTTGTCCTTTTAAACCAACAAAATCTCTCAGCTGTCAAATTGCATCAGAGATCTTTGAGAAGGATAAAATTCAACTTGAGTTACTGATTAAAAAATGACAGAGAACTTACTTGGTTGGCAGCTAGAGCTACTCCTCAGGGTCCTCCATGGTCGCTGAAGGTTCTGTTTGCCTTTTGATGTTTAGCTCAGGGCCTGCCAGGCTTGAGAAGATCCTGTGGGCTGAGAAATATGTAGGAAGACAAGTGTACCTTGACCTGAGCAGCTAGGTTATTGATTCCAGCGATTCTGTCCATGTCAGGAGATCTTCAGTTTAGATGAAAGGCAGTTTTTCCCAGTGGTCAGTGCTTGGCAATTGAAGTGAATCACCGATGGATGTTGTTCTGTGCCCATTTGTCTTTTGTCTTTTTTTGGAGGATGTAGAGTGCTGCTGCCAACCTGTCTCTTTTTATTATGAAAAGTTTTTTGATAATTAAATATTTAAATGCCATATTCCCCAGATCTCTGAGCAGTTGAGGGCTGTTTATCAGGTAAAACTGCAGTATAGAATCTGCCTGGAGAGCTGGGTCTGAGCTTGACTGTACTGGCTCTCAGCTACCAGGTAAGATTTACACTCATAAAAAGACAGGAGATAAAACTGCTTACAATAGGAGGTTAATTGCAGAACTGACAATAGTAGAGAACAGCTTAATATATTTTAAATAAGGGTCAGATTAAATATAAAGTGTTTTTGTAAGAGACTTAAAAGTACATACCAGTTTAAAACATGAGACTTATTGTTTTTGTACTCTGAAATGAGATACAATGAACAATTATAACATTAAGCATAGGTGCATTTAAGTTACATGTATGAACACACACACAGAGTGAACAGGAATTGGGCAAAGTAGATACTCTTGATGGGCCATACCAAATTCATGCCACTGCACAAAACACATGTAACAAAGTAAGCAAGAGGAATTTAGAGAAATAAACATAAGTAAACCGGGGGACAAAGCAGGGAACACCTCGTAAAGATGACAGAACTTGGTCACCTGACCTGGCTCTCAGCCAAGATGGCGGCAAAGTCACCTAACCCCAGTCAAAATGGCAGCAGTCACGTATATAGAAAAGCCAAAATTTTTGAGCTGTAGAGATTTTAAGTTTAATAATAAGAGAGACCTAGAGGCGTGATCCACCCTGTCTCTGAGCCGCCATGCCACAGCCACGGTGGGAAGCAAAAGTTTGGAATTGAAAAAGGCCACGTTGTGGATCTGACCAATCTTGTTGGCAGCAGTAGTAGCAGGGACAGTTGGAGGAAACTCCGTCCATTTGCCTGTGCACTGGCAGTAGTCAGAAAGTTCCCATAAAAGTAGAGCTGGTGGGCCACTGGCAGAGTAAGGGTGCAAGCTGAAGAAGTAGGGCATTAAGACCTGGGGTTTTAGGGCCTCTAAAAGGCTTCCATCCTGAGGGGGGGGCAGACATGGATGGCTTGCTACCCATAGGTGAAACTTTGAAAACCTGAAAAACAGTGACACCACAAGGCCTCTGAGTGGTCTTTACCAAAACAAAAGCAAAAACAAGCAACAAAGCGGGGGTGGGGGAGAAAAGGAAAACAGAGAAAGAAAAACTGAGGGACCCTGGGCCCCCAGTTGAATGCTCCGCACAGAACGTGCAGTGCTAGCGCGGGAGGACTGACCCTGGGGTCAGTCCAGTCACGATTTTAGCTAAGGCAAGCAATCCAAACATACATGTCAGCAAAGGGCTCAACCAACTGTGTTGCAGGCTGTCCCTCCATTTCTAGGAACACCAGATTTCCAGGAGCTTACTGATCAATTCCTCAGGTTCGGAGAAGTGGTTAGCTGACCAGAATGGGGGAAATTCACCAACTGAAGCCGGTTGTGTGAGTAGAAATCATGCTGTAGAAATCATGCTCATACATATGGAACACGTGGTTGTTGTGAAAAAAATACCTGGTCCAGGATCCTGACCCCGGGAGAGGGTCTCCGGGTGGAAGAGCCTGTCTGACTCATGCCACCAGTGAAATGCATTATTAAAAATGCTGCAGGATCCCCAGTGGTGGCAGGCCACAGAAACCCTGCAGATTCCCAAGGCAGCGGGCCATGTGGCGGCAGGCAGCAAACCCTGAGAACAGCCAGTCCCAGGCAGGGACGGCTGCAGGTCCCTAATCAGTGGCTGGTCCCAGGCAGGGAGACACGTGGCAGTGGGCAAGAGATAGAAACATGGATAGACACACCATGCAGAGTGAGATTGGATATTTATTTGGTGGGTTATGGAGGGGGAAGGGAGAAGGAGAGGGAGGCAGAGAGGGGAGAGAAGGGAGAGATGGAAGCTGCTTCTCCAAGACAGAGATGAAAAAGAGAGAACTCCAGGTTGGAAGCTGAAGATCAGCCTGTCTCAGCATATGGGGAAAGGAGTGGGCATGACTTGTCTCTTAAAGAGACAGAACAAATATTACAGTGGGAGAATTCTCACTTCCCACCATGTGGGTCTCGCGGATTAAATGTAGGCCCTCTAAGGCACCTCATTAGATGGTTTGGGGTTACTGTCTAATTTCATTTCAACCTAAAGGACTCCCTGTAACACTTCTTGCCTAGTGAGAAAAAAGAAAGAAAACAGAAAAGAAACCTTCCATAAATTTGAGAGTGATCTCTCTATCTCAACACACTTGGAATTACCAGTCTCTTCCTGGCTTTCATGATCTCTGGGGAAGCTGAGTGGTGGTTTGTGAGGATCCCGACCAGGCCCCTCCTCCTCACTGCTTCCAAGCTTCCCCCTGTTCTGATTTCTGACCATAATGATATAATGCGAGGCTATGAATTTATCATCTACTTATCAAATGTGTTGAATCTTCAGATGGTGTCTCTTCAAATATTCTTTTTCCCCTTTCTCTTTGTGTACTTGAACACAGCTGGATCCCCTAAACTGTCCGGCTGATCCCCTCTTTTTCTTGCTGTTTCTCTGCTTCAGTCATTGCAGCAGCCTGCCCTTTAGGACAGGTTCTTCACGCCGACTCCACTGTAACCCCCTCTGGCATGTCCTTCCCTACGTCCATTACACTTTCTGGCTCTTGAATTCCTCCTTTTTCTGTATGATTTCTACTTTTTTTTTTAAATCAGAGTTTACTTTTAGGGAACACAAAAGTGAAAACAGAAAGTACCCCCCCCACACACACACACACTTCTGGATGTGGAGTGAACTGAGCCCAGTGGCAATGGCTTATATCTTTGCTGATGTCCTAGATTGCCTTCCTTTGTTCTGGCTGAAATCTAAAACATTCTCCAAAGAAATTCATGGTTTACAGGGCAGATGCCAGGTGATGGACTTTGGGGATATGTAGGCAGGCATTTCTTTCCCGCTCTCCAGTTCTCAAATAACCCACATGGAGACTTTTAATTATAAATGCTCAGCCAATAGCTCAGGCTTATTACTAACTAGCTCTTATAACTTAAACCCATTTATATTAATCTGCATTCAGTAACATGGCGTTATCTTGCTTTTATCTTGTGTCTCCTGTTTCCTCTCCATGTCTCACTGGCAACTCCTCTGACTTCTGATTCTTCTTCCCATTGTCCTTAGTCTTGTTTTCCTACCTAACCTTATCCTGGACAGCTATTGGCAGTCCACTTCTTTATTAAACCAATCACAGCATAATTTCCACAGTGTACAGAAGAATCATTCCATAGCAGGGATGTGATTGATCCATGAAGCCTCTCAACTCATCTGGATTAATCCATTCATCAATGGATTTGTAATTGGGCGACATTATTGAGAGGTAGTGGAAAAGGAGTGGAAGGTGTAGACCCCTGAAGGTGTGTCCTAACAAAACAAACCTTGCCAGCAGCCCCTTCTTTTTGCTTCCTAGCTGCCAATAAGGAAGGTGGCTTGAGTCCTATTATACCTTTTCTGGGGCTCAAAGCTAAAGAACTAACAATAACCGAAGCTATCCATCGAAACAAACCCTTTTCTTCTAACTAGTTTCTCTTGCAACCCTGTCACAGCTAACACATCAGCTCACATTTCCCCGCAGCTCTGCATCTCTAAGATCTCTGAGACCACGTTGTCTCAGAGTTCGACATTTTTCATGTATTTACAGACTAGGCTGCATGTAGAGCGGGAATCCCACCTTGGATACGGTGGCCTTCTACCTGTCTGCTGCCACCATTGCTCTCTGGCACAAAGCAGGGTTCTACACTCCAGAAACTGCTTCAGTCAACAGTAAATTATGGCCCACAGCCTCTGGGCCTGCATCTTTCTGGCCTGTGGCAGCCGCCAACACAACAGCACGGAACTCCAATACTTGGAGGACAAGGTCCTTATTGTGCAGTCTGGGCACAGCAAGCAGGCCAGACACATGTCACATGCCTGTCATGGAGCTGGGCAGACACTGCAATGAAAAAGACAGGAGCCAACTTGGGCTGTGAAATGCAGGTAGCACAGTCCCTTGGGAATAGCCGGAGCTCCAGAGTAGCCTCTGATACCACTGTCCAGGTGTGGGGGGGATGCCTTGTGCTCCCACAATGCCAACGTCCACCATGTTCCTATGGGACCTGCTGTCTTACATGCTCTTAAAACAGCCCAGACAGCTTTGTTCATCTGTTCCTGCACTCACCTGGGTCTTTTCTTTCAGAAGGCACAAAACCCAATCTCCTTCCCTCCCTCTCTCCCCTCTGTCACTGACGGTTCTGCTTTGTCCTGTTCCTGGAGGTGAGGCATGGCTGCCACAGTGACCTCCCTAAACTGGCACATCTCCCTGTGAGATGAGCTCTGTTCCTCCAGAGTCCCAGACACTCCAACGCTGTCACCAAGTCTCCTTCCAAGATGCTCTGCCAGAACACAGCAATCCCAGAGAAGATAGTGGTTGACAGAAGGTGTCATTAAACACAACCAGTAGATGCAAACCGAGTCTCTGCATGGAGGGGCAGGTTTTCCAGACCTTGGCGTATCCCACAAATATTGCCTCACAAAGCTCTTGTGTGGAGTGGAAGGGGGGACATTTATGTTCCTCTACTTACCTCAGGTCTTCCTCTGAGGCTGTTAAGGTCTTCAGTGCTCCCTTGAGGGCTCGCTGTGAGAGGGAACTGGAGCCCAGATTCCCAGACAGGACATCCAGATGCCCACTGAAATCCAGGCTTCAGTCCAGAGGTGGCCTGCTACACAGATAGGCCAGGATTCCTCTGCACCTCAGTGACTCTTTTAGGGCTTCTCTCAAAGTGTTCCCTGCCAGCAACATCTCCCCTTCCATTGCCTGCCCTCACGGGTCCTCAGAGGTCCAACTCAAATACTCATCTTCTATAAATACTTTCCAACCCTATTCCCTTTCCTTTTAAAATTATCTTACCTATCATTTTATAATTGCATACATGCACCCAATGTATCCTGACTATAGCCCTCTACTTCCCTTGAGGCCCACACCTTCATGATCTCTCTTCTTGATGTTTATTTACTCTATGGAGGCAGGATTGCCACAGCAACACACGTTTGGAGGTCAGAGAACAAGTTTCAGGAATTAGTTTTCTCCTAATGGGGACTGAACCCAGTTCTTCAAGCTTGGCAGTGAAGACCTTCACTTGTTGAGTAATCTGGCTAACCCACTGGGTTCAATTAGTGTTACCTGCATGTACACTGGTGTGGTGCCATTTGTGGGAGCATGTGCAACCCCAGGGGAAAATATTTCCCTACCTGAAGCTATCAACTGTCAACAGCTCCTTAGCTAGGATGTAGTCTCATGAGCCCCCCCATCCATCCATGGACACATTGACAGCTTGATCTTGTACAGATAACATCAGCCATCGTGAGTTCCTGGGTGTGACGGCAGGCCGTGCCATCCTGAAGACAACCCTTCACAGCCCTCACCCCAGCCTCTGGCTCTTACACTCTTTCTGTATTCTCTTCTGTGGATATTCCCTGAACCCTGGGGAAGTGGATGCTGATATAGCTGTCCCATTTCAAGTTGAGAGATAGCACTCACTTAATCTCTGTGCTTGGATCAGTTATGAGTCAACCATGCCAACTACACAAAGAAAATTTTCTGACCACCAAGGCTGCAAACAGCACCGCTGATGACCAAACAAGTTCCTTTTGACCCGGGAGGTGACCCTGCTCAGACTCCAGCGTGTAGTTCACTCAGCGTTCATGAGAAAACACACTTATTTTCTTGGTCAGTTGTCAATCATTCTTTGAAGAATTATTTTTAATGCTGAGTGCTCCATCTAGTGTGCTCCACCACTCTCAGCCATGGTGTGCTCTTGGTGTGCTCCACAATTCTTAGCCATGGCGTGCTTCTCATGTGCTCCACCACTCTCAGCCATGGCGCACAGTCAAGGAAGATCTTTCTGATATGGCAGATTACAAATCTTGACTGAAACCTGACTGGTAAGAAGGAATTAGGAATTCAAGGAGACAGAACATTCCAGACAGGAAGAACAAGTACAGAGGGCTGACAGGAATGTGGTGGACAGAACAAACCGGTGGAGAGGAGACCACAAACAGACTGCTCAGAAGCACTCTGCACAAGGGGGCAGCCACAGCATAAAAGTGTGTTATAGCAGGCTTGAGACCTACAAAGGCCTGCTCTCAAAACTGTCGACTGGCTTCTGGAACTTTGTTCTGTGTCCCCAGTAAACATTAAACAACAGTGACATTACTTTATGCACACATGTGTTACACAATGTATCTAATGCTTTTATCTGGAAGTCTGAAGTTAGGTATAGGAAAAGCAGAGGGTGTGTATGTGACCAGTCCCCGAATGAGGGTGTATACGCAACTGGTTCCCAAATGAGGGTGTATACATGACCAGTATAATAATGAGATCTCATTATTTTTTCCCAATGTGTAGTACTCCATTGTGTAAATATACCACATTTTCCTTATCCATTCTTTGGTCGATGGGTATTTCAGTTGTTTCCAGGCTCTGGCTATGACAAACAATGTTCCTATGAACATAGTTGAGCACATGTCCTTGTGGCAAGGTTGTTCATCCTTTGGATATATACCCAAAAGTGGTCTTGTTAAGTCTTGAGGTAAGTTGTTTCCTAATTTTCTGAGAAATTGCCACACTGACATCCAAAAGGGTTGTATCAGCTTGCATTCCCACAATCAATGGAGGAGTGTTCCCTTTACCCCACATCCTCTCCAGCATAAGTTGTCATTAGTGTTTTTGATCTTGGCCATTCTGAAAGGTGTAAGATGGAATCTCGGAGTTGTTTTGATTTGTATTTCTCTGATGACTAAGGATGTTGAGCATTTCCCTAAATGTCTTTCAGCCATCTTAGATTCCTCTGTTGAGAGTTCTCTGTTTAGGTCTGTACCCCCATTTTTGTATTGGATTATTTGTTCTTTTGATGACCAATTTCTTGAGTTCTTTGTATATTTTGGAGATCAGCCCTCTGTTCAATGTGAAGATCTTTTTACATTCTGTAGGCTGCCATTTTGTCTTATTGACTGTGTCCTTTGCTTTATAGAAGCTTCTCGGTTTCAGGAGGTCACATTTACTAATTGTTTCAGTGTCTGAGCTACTGGGGTTATATTTAGGGAGTGGTCTCCTGTGCCAATGCATTCAAGTATACTTCCCACTTTCTCTTCTATGAGGTTTGTTGAGGTTGGTTTTATGTTGAGGTCTTTGATCCATTTGGACTTGAATTTTGTGCATGGCAATAGATATGGATTTAGTTTCATTCTTCAAAATGTTGACATCCAGTTATGCCAGCATCATTTGTTGAATATGCTATTTGAAAGAAATCTTACAACTACCTGCCAAGTCCCATACATTCTCCTTGAGAGTCTCTGAATTTGAAGGTAGCTGTTGTAATGATCTGTTCTGTCCCTTTAAGAGACAAACCACACTCACTCCCTCCCCTGTCCACTGAGGCAGGCAGATCTTCCTTCCTGCTTATAGCCTTTTCCATCTCCCTCTCAAAAAGGCAGCTTATCTTTCTCTCTCTCTCTCTCTCTCTCTCTCTCTCTCTCTCTCTCTCTCTCT